TATATATTTATATATATTTATATGATAATCGATATCACACGAGCAATATTGTAGAGCAACTGTTTGTGTCCTGAATAGCACGAGTGCAAATGTGATTTTATACAACAGTTCAGTAAATAAGAACTTAATATTGTGTTATATTTTAAACACAATATTGTCTGTTTTTGCTCAGTTTAGCCGACGCAAATATTACCTATTAAAGCCACAGCAGAACTGTTGTGCGTCTCTAAGCATCACAATTTCTGAATGAATCCGCGTTTTGAACAAAATCGGGTGAACCAATGATTCAATGGCCCATTCAAAAAGAGAGCCATTTACTGTATTCCTGAATGAATCCGCCGTTTGAACGAATCGAATGAATGAATGACTGACTCGATGACTTACTCATAAGGCATTTACCGCCACCTACTGGCAGTTTTAGTTTTTTATTTAGAGTATCATTTCATTTAAAATAATTTCATATTTACATGTTTATAAAAAAAAAATCCATATTAGTAAAAAACGAATTAAAGGGATAGTTCATCTAAAAATGAAAAAAAAAAAAAAGAAGCTTTCTAAAGATACTTTATGTAATATCTATTTCAGGCTTTTCTCATGTAACACAATAACGGCATTAAATTATCTTTTGTGGGCAATTTCTAAGCCAAATTTGATGTGTGATTAATATGCGATTAATTAGATTAATTAATCACCACACTGTGTAATTAATTAGATTAAAAATGTTTTTAAATGAATGTTTATGGAATGTTCTTATAACTTTATTAATATTTGATATTCGTTCTCATAACGTTGAGAAGAAAACATTCTTAGAACATTATTTTCTGAATGTTCTCATGATATTATTTTTACTTTATGAATTTTCTTATAACGCTGAGGGAAAACGTTCTGAGATCAACATTCTTGGAATGTTCGTATGATGTTATTTGTACTTGATGAACATTCTAAAAAGGTTTTTGTAACCTTTACATAACATTCTAATCACAACAAGAAAACTTGTTTAACGTTCTTAGAATATTAAAAATAAACATTCAAATAACATTATATTTTGCGTAAAAATTAAATTAGTAGAATGTTTAAAAAACATTTTAGTCACCTTTAAATAACGTTATAACCATCACAAGAAAACTGGACATTTCAATGTTTTAGAATCATTTCAAAACAATGTTCCCACAACGTTTTTATAACCTACATTTGTTACCTGGGTAATCGTCCGTCAGTGTGAACACTAATATTGACCATCCATAGAGCGATTCTTTTGAGTCACTCAGTCAATGAATGATTCCTCAGTGAATCGTTCAGTAAATGTTCTGTCTGACAGTATTGTTATCGTTAACTAAAACTATTAAAAATCACTTTTGTTAATCGAAATAAAGCTGAAATAAAATTAAATACAAACATTAGATGAAAAACTCAAACTAAAAATGATGCTTTGGCAACTAACTGAAATAAAATAAGTTTAATTTGAAGCACCAAAATTACTCAAACTAAAATAAATAAAATAATTAATTAAAGCTAAATAGAAATAATAAAAAAAAACATTAAAAAAATAAATAAATAAAATAAAAACAGAAAATATACAAATAAACGCTAGTTCAAAACATTAATAAATAATATAATATTAATATTATATTATGCTAGGTGACTGTGGAGGTGTTTTTAGTTACTGTGAATGTTACAGTATGTCTCTAAAGCAGCGCAGCATGGCCTCGCCCCCTTTGCTGCCTTTTCCCGAGGGCGGGGATTATCTGGGTTCGTGATGTCACGAACCCGGGAAATAACTCGTTGTAGTCCCTACCAGCCGTTTTTGTAGGCATTAAACCGACAGAATTTTAAAAGACGATATCTCCATTTGCGTTGAACTTTCAGCTTTGTAACTTTGCAGATATTGTTTATGCTCAAACAGCAACATTACACACTAACTAACGTTAAAAAAGTGAAATCGCAATGAACCACCCCTTTAAACGATGTTTCACGTTTCAGTAGCTTCATCTGATTGTTGCTGAAGGGTCACCTGATCTCGTTGGGAATCTCCTCCTCCTCGTATTTGTTCTTGTTTCTCCAGTAGAAGAGCGTGACGAGCACCAGTAAAGAGCAGATGAGGAGCGCCAGAATGGCAGTGGCGATGGTTCCTGCGATCAGACCGACGCTCTGAGGCTGCGCTGTCACACATCAGAGACAGACAGACGGCTGTGAGGTCGCATACGAGACCGTGTGTGTGATTTAATGACACTAGGACTGTGCAGAACTACACATTTCAACCTGATGATTGCTGTGTGATCTCCTAACATCACTGTATGTGAGGGTGAATGTGGACAGAATCGCAGAATCCGGTCATATTTACTGTATAATGTGGAATGTCAGAATTTGGCAAAAAGAAAAACAAAACAGAATTTGGGGAAAAAATAAAAACAAATACCAGGGCCCTAAAAATGAATGTTTAGTGAAACTTTTAATAAATTGTTTTTAAATTGTAAGATTCACGATTTTAGTTAATTAGCCATGTTTTTTGATGACTGCTGTACGTGAATATTAAAACACAAAAGATTATTATCAAATACAGGTCTTCAGTACAACCTCATAATAAAGGTTCAGTTTAACTTAAAGACACTGTGACTGAAATATATCAGTATTGTACAGTAGAATATACTTCTCAAAGTAGTAGTAATAATAATAATAATAATAATAAAATTAAAGGTTCATTTTTAAAGGAATATCATAATTTTCTTCCATGCTTTAATTTGAACAGTAAAGCTGTTATGAAGCACGCTGTTTGTTTGGCAAAAAATAAAAGGAATTGTTACATTTTCAATTGATTACGTTTTATGCCTTCATTTGATTATGATCATTTTTAATAATAAATTTGTTTTATATCATAAAATGAATTATATCAACAAAAAAAAAAAAAATAT